GTGACTAACCTGTGTTAGTTTTGCTGTTGCAGTAATCCGTGAGAAATTTTTCTAAAGTGAATCTTGGTAAGTGTAAATTTTTTACCACTTGCACTGGATCGCCTTCTTTCCATAAAAATACTAAATCGTCAGTTGTCCAACCGTCTAGGAAAACACATCCAAAACGTGTGAACTCATTGATTAAATCATTTRATACACTATATTATATATTGCGTTAAAATATTATATTGACTTACAGCTGACCATTCGGAGTGAACACGTTTGACGATCCAGTGGATATAATTTGAGATTCATTGGACACGATAGAGTAAGGGATATCCTACATAATAATAATAATAATAATAATAATGACAAAATCGAGTTGTTATAATTGTGTACTCATTCAACCAATTATACTATTTATGCTGACCTTATACTGTACAATACTAATCCGTTGGGGAATATCCTGATGTACACGTTCGGCATAATTATATTGTGAAAATGACCTTCCTTCTCGTTAGAAAAGAACAAGTCGGGCATCCACACTCTGTTGGCTTCAGTCAAAGTCAAGTATTTCATTTTACCTATCCAAACAATAGGAAATATTAGTTTATTTTTACCATTTTTAAACAGCTGTTATAGTGTAAATTAAATTTAGCTCTTCGGTGTTGACTGTGATTCGTCGTAAGAATTTCACGAATGTTAACAACTGCAGKTACGCGTAATTTATTAGAGATTATTGCAACTTTCAGATTTTTCGGAGCATATTTTTGAAAATTTTGGTTTTGGTCTGAAAACTAATATTTCGGCGGTAATTATTGCGTTGGCCACTGAGTCGTCCCGAAAGACATATCTTACCCAGCTATACAACGCCGCATGAACACGCTGTCCATAAAGAAACAGGCGCGAAAATAAAAAAAAAAAAAAATTTGAGTCGTCGTGTTCGAAACGGGACAGCGTGAAAAATATACATTAATATTTATATGTATATGTTACGGAGGTATATTATATTATAAYATATAGGGTCCGGTTGTGCGTAATGATGGTGGGTTGGTGGGTAGGCTCTTCACTGGTAAACTCGAGTACGGACGCACGCGCCTAAGTTACGCCGGGTGGGTGGCTCCTCGAGTGTAGTTAGTAAGCAAAGTGATTTCCATGTATTTACCATTGTAATCGTTAAATTTTAGCCTCTCGTCCATCCATTGTTCGCGGAACGTCAGTTGCACACTGTACTCCTAACACACAAAACACACGTTTAGAAATATATCACATACAGCACACGAATATAACACGCACACATTTATATAATATATAATATATATTGTATATATGTTTTATTTATATATATATATTTAATAATAATAACGACGAAATACATTCGCGGCCGGGGGACGATGAATTTCAGCTGCCTGGCAGACCATTATTGTGCTAGTCCGAAAACAATATAATAATATAACACGACTCAGTAGTCGCACATCACAGACATTTCGAAACAAGAATTTATTAGACACACTAGCCGCACAGGGTGAGTGTCAAGTKYTCGAGTTAGAGTGGCCGTGTATAGGTACAAGTCGCATGTTGTAATTTGCTTCCAAAAACGCCAAGACCGCCGAAAAATATTATTTGAAATTTATAGGTAAATCATAAAAATAAAATAAAATAAATATTGGTGTGTCATCATGTTTAATCTTGTASGAAAAATATTTTGGAAATTTGGACCACACAGCACGTCAAGTCAAAAAGGATTTTTTTACGTAGGCCACTACCTATATATGATATTATATCAGTTTCTATTCGTAAAATATGTTAATTTAAAAACACCACGACGGATACAKAGTTGGAAGAATCGCTAACAAAAATAAAAACTACCCAAAGTGTATACAAAATAACTCGAATTATTTGTTTTTGAGTTTTAAACCTCAAATATAACTTATAAATACTTCAAGGGCCAAGAAAAAAGCATCGAGTTGCGAAGGTTTTCGRGTTATTGTAATTCAACTCCATCAGTTACTTTAAAAAAATATTATATTAACAGGTAAAATGTATGAATACACTTAAGTTCTTCATTGCCGTTCTCTCCAACACTGCGTTAATATCGTTGTTCAACCACTACATGCACAAATGATATGTGCACAGAGTGTCTCACTGCGTTTGTTCTCGTATATACGTATCCGCCCGACTACAGTTCTTCTTTTTGCCGAAGTCGATGACCTTTATATATATATATTATATTTATATAACTATTTAAGCATTTATAACCAAAATATTATCAGAAACAGAACTCTTTTAGATATTTAAAAATATTAAATAGATACAATGCTCGTCGAATTGGCTTTTATCGTGGGTTCTTATAAGAAACCTCGAATACTCCTACATAATATATTGTCCTACACATAATGTGAATGAGAAAAACGCGCTGGTACGAATACGTATGGTGAGACACCCTGTATAATAATATGCATATTTTTCGGAACGATGAACGATATATT